AGAAAGCATTGCCTTGTAGAGAAAACAAACATATCTAGTCTCCCTTTCCTGAATTCACCAAACTCAAAATAACTTCCGTTTTTTTATAGTAGTAATCTGAAATACCGACACCATCACATCTACAAAAATCTATGTCAAATTAGAGCAACAATAAAGAATTGAAGCTTTTCTTTAAAAAATGGTCTCTATAAAGAAAAAAACCTTCCATGCAATTCTTATATACTATAAATACTATGTATATAATATATACTATATATAATACGCTATGTATATAATAGGTACTATATATGTATATATATGTATATATACACATATATATATACATATACACACACATATATTAATACTACCTAATGAAAAACCACAGTACTAAAGTAGACTCTGTAATATCGCCACTATATCCTGTAATTCCTATATTCCGCTCTACATTATGAAACCAAAATAGAAGGAGTTCAAAAGATTGAACTTTGCAGTCTCCCAGTGGACTACCCAGAGATGGTCAGAGCTCTTTAAAATTTTTCACTGTCAGGTTGTTACTGATAAAGACGAAGCCTTTCATACCAAGTAAAAGCTTCTCATCTGAGTCACTGCTTCCACTTGGCAATGCCCTGTGATGGAATAAATGACAGTGAGGAAAACATTTTCCCCAAAGAAGTTTCCAAAATTTAATGGCTATTTCTCTGAAGAATGTTGAGGAAAAGCACTTATGCAGAATTGCTGTTGCTGGAGCAATCTGAATGTGGTAAATATTGAGAAAATGCTTGCTGATGAGGGAAAAATGAGATGGCTAAACTCATAACCATTTTCCTAGAAGTTTGTTCTTTAGAACACTACCCATGGAAGTGAGTGGCTTAAAATTCCCAAATTAAAAGCTTAAATTCTCAGGTCTGGAGGGACAATGAAATGGCCATCTCATGGCGAGGACATGGAAGTAGCTGAAAGCATGCAGTATCTGGACTGGGGAGGCCCAGGCAGAGCAGGCACTGTGCAGCTCACACAACCCGAGTCTCTTCCCACCGAAGCAAGTCAGCACTTATGCATCACAGACCTGATGGAACAAGAGAGAGCTGAAGTTCTAACATATTCACTCTTGTAGGAGCTATGGATGACGTCATCCTGAAATAGTGCTTTGAAGATAAGTATTAAAAAAATGGAATCAAATCTAAACAAATGAACTAGGGAAAGAGATGAAAGAAACAGGTCAACTCCAGGATAAATCATTCAAGGAATGACCAAGACCCACATATTAAGTCAGTAGAACTTAGTTTGGTTATGTGGAAGAATATTACCTTCAAAACATTATTTGTAAGATTTTGTGCCCCTATCCTCTAAATAGTCAAAGTCAAATGAAAGGTTTCTTAAGAGAGACTTTATTATTAGCTATTGATGTAGAAAGGAGAACACAGAACAGACACTTCTGCACTTAGTTTCAGACCAGATCACTGCACCAAGGTCTGACCTCAGCTCCCCCCCACCATTGGGGTGCAACAGATTTCGGACATCTAAGCCCTTAATCCTTATTCCCCACTCCCCTGCCAAACCCACATGGACTGATGGACAAAAAAAAAAAAAAAAAAAAAAAAAAAAAAAAAAACAAAACCAAATAGATGTTTACAGAAGGTGTGATTCCTCAACTCCTGCCTGAACATAGGAAGAAGTGGATGACATACATAATGGCATTAGGCTTATAAGAGACTATATTAAGAAAAACCTCTGTTAGGTTTTGTGTCTGAAAGTAAAAACCACAGCAGACCAAATTTTAAAATCTGTACAATAACCAGGCAGGCACCCTGGGGATGTAGGTACTTGCTGAAATAGAATATACAAAGGTTAATGACAGTATTTCTAATATAATCAGGTTCTGGCCTGTGTCTATTTACATAGAATCTAGTCAGATATTTTTCTAAGAGGGAAAGGACTTGTAGGAGGTAAGTCTTTCTTTGAGAATGATCGATTCTAATCTACAGAGCCTTTGCAATGACTGCAGCATAAAAGAACCTAGCAATGTTAAGTCTCAGGTTGATTATGGCTTAATAACAACACCTACTTCAAAAGCGTATTGTAAGGATTTAATAGGATAATCTATAAAAGTGCATATTAGCACAGTGCCTGGTACATAGTAAATGATCAATAAATGGTAGCAGTTTATTGGTACCAATCAATAAATGGTACCAATACTTTGAACTGACACTGAAAACAAAGGACTTGATATAAAAAGTGGAGGCTGCTCCATTCCATAAACTACTTTTTAAACCAATATGTATTTTTTGATTCATACCATCAATTCTTGTGTATTTAAAATGAAAGGGACAAAAGCACAAATGTACATAAAATTAACTTAAGAGTTATAATTACTTCTCGTAACATACCTGTTAAGCAGAGATATTAAAACAACAACAACAACAACAAAAAAATCAATGCTTTACTTCCTCTTTTTTGTTCATTCCTTTTGGTAGAAATATATCAATGCAGAGTCAGTATTAATTTGAAGATAGAAGAGGAAAAGGACAGAGCACATATATAAAATATATCCTAAACATGAAGAATGGTCTTTATATTGATCTAAAGTTCTCTATACACTTTCACATGTTACTTTTTTTTTAATCCTCTAAGGATTCAGGAAAAGGTATTATTTTTATTTTATATACAGATAAACTAAAAATGGAGAACTGTTTTTACATGTTATATATAAGCAAGCATAGATAAAAATTGCTAATAGGCCAGCATAAAATATTTAGCTACACTTGGAAACAAATACGTGACCAGTTGGTATAGCCAGAGAAGACAGCATTAAATCAAAGACAGCTGTCAGTTTATCAGCAGGGACAGATATGAACACAAATGCACTATATATTAATGTAGATATCCTTTCTTAAAAATGATAAAGCCTCTGGCTTTTTAAAAAACCTTTTTTTCGTCCTTAACCTATTCCAAAAATAATACTACCTCATTAAAGTCAAACTACACAACTGACTTTTAAAATCTGTTATAATTAGAAAATATTAGGACACACAAATTTTGTAAAATGTAAAACCTACCGCGGATTGCTAACTTTGTCGTCTGGCTGTTACCCGAGAAGGCAGGAGCCCGGTCTGTGTCCTTCCCTCTGACTAGCACACCGCTTTCAATAAAGGGGCCAGGATGATGACCCTGGGCACCACAGCACATGTATTTTTAATAATTAGTACATGGAACCCACCAAAAATATTATTACTGGTAAAAACTTAACACACTATCCTTCAGGATCTGCTTGAGAGGAAAGATGACTAACCCCTGCAGAAGTTTATCAACAAATGTTTACTACACTGAACATGATTGTTAAGATATATGACAAAAAACACCACTCAGAAGGAAAGAAAGCAGACAAAAAGCAAAGCTAAAATCCAGAATCCAGGGAAACACATTTACCCTGCAAAGGGGCATCATTATCAGCATTTGTTTTTTGTAAGAAGTTTTTACCTTTTTGTTTAAGGCAAGGCTACTTTCAATTGGACACTCAGTATGATCTACCCGTATCTTACTTGCAGAGTAATATACTGCATTTTAGCAAATATAAACCAAGGCAAATTAGAAAGGTTTTAAACCAATAATGACGGGTCCCGGTACCTGAACACAGGTTTAATGCAGACAGACATAAAAAAAAAAAAGTCCCTCTTACCTCCTCTCCATTTAAAGGTTACAGGGCACAGTAATACTGAATTAGGACACAGGCACAAGTTACGTAAATCTTATTTAATATGTAGTACCACCTACATCCTGCTTTCAGACTTTCAGCATAATTTAACACATTCAAGAAGGCTACTCAAATCAATTCAAAATACCTATCTATACCAATGGTTTTCAAACTGTTTTTAAGATTTTAACTGTCCCCTTAAAATAATTAAACTTCATGCAGCGATCTTATGTAGTATATAAAATAGATAAAGCAGAGATGCTCTGGTTGAAAGTAAAGGCTGGTAGCTTGGAGTCCTTCCAACCACCTCGGGGCGACCCTTCAAAAATCCAATAAGCGTAGTTCGAAAACCAGTGAAATAATGTGATTTTATTATATCAGTAATTAAATTTATAACAACTATTTAAAGTTTAAGCTAAACAAGTTAAACACTGAATGGAATGTTGGGATATGAAGAAGGCTAGCACTCAAATGAGCAGTTAAATTCACCAGACAATATGCTTTAAAAATATCCATTAAGAAGTTAAAGGGACAAGGTCAGGTTTGTACATCATCATACTATTTATTGAAGTAGAAAGAACTTGAAAAAATTTTACTTCAAAACTTCAGTAATAGTAAACTGAAACTGTGGATAGTAAAATGCTGCTCCTTATTTTTATTTCCTAAAGCATGGTTTATCCCAACTGTAAATTAGGGTAATTACATTGAAATGTTCATGAAAAATAAACAGTATCCATCATGGGCTTTACAGAAACCAATTTCTTTACAGAGTCTTGAGACCAAATGTTACCTGACTATGCCAGTAAGGAGAATTTTCCTTCAAAGATATTTTTAGGGAAAATTTTTGTTTCTTTGTTTGTTTTTCTTTTTAAATTTGGGAAAACTGTAAAACATAAAAGAAATGCAAATATATAGTAAAAAGTGCTTATTTAAAGTTAGTTCTAACTGCTCATATCAAACTTCTCTTTAGGAAAATGTATCCAGTACAATTGAATCAACATACAATTTATTTTTTTTATGGTAACAGATTTTGCATATTGAGCTTTTAAAAAGTACATTTAACTACAAAAGTAAGATTAAATACTTATAAAATATATTTACCCTGAAATGATTAAGAATATAAAATGTTGATGCCCATGTCAACAGTACATTATACATTACACGCATTATTTAAAGGTCATTTTCTTTCCAGTAATAATGTAGATAAAACCACAATATTTATTGCTTGTTATCAAGTGCAGGTTAAAATCCAGATAGCCTCCAAAAACAAATCTTTGTTTTGAGGATTTCTCAATCTGGTCAGGTGAAATATTACACTGAACATGTACGAATACAGTTGCAAAATGTACCAGTTTTCAACAAGCATTCAAGTCTTTATTTCAGATAGCTGTTTACAGTTTGGGGACAGTGTCCTGAGATGTTGGGCTGGGGACTGAATATATCACTTGTCTGGTTGGTGTCTATTCTACCGCACCATTTCTGGGGTGTGAGGAGTTTGCTAACAGACAAACCCTTGTGACTAACGCAACACTGTCAGCTATTAGTGCGGGAGCTTGCGGGGCAGAACTGTTATTTATAGGACATTCTGCTGAAACAACAGTGTCCAGCCAACAAAAGCACCCACCAAAATGACTGACACAAACCCCATCTTAGTGAGAATAGGTTGCCAATATAACCACCTTTTCCTTTTTCGTTCAGTCTCATTTAGCCTCTGTTTCATCTGCTGCACCTTCTGAGCCGTGTTAGCTTTTCTGTCCTCTCGAATACGTTTCCGTAGAATGCTAGAATACATAAAAACAAATGAAAGGAAGTGCATGGTAAGACTTAGTTACTCTAATGCAGAGGACCTAAGCCCAAATACCCACCTCCCAAGCCCCACATTTTTAAACTCGTTAAAACACTAGAATGAAAAAGGGGAGGATTTTCAATTATTCTAAGTGGTCCAGAGATGTACTCTAATAATTCAACAATTTCTGGTAAAATTTTCTATTAATAAATACTTTTGGCAGGACCTGAAAATAAGTATGGTGCTTTCTTTTGTTGAAATGTGAGCTGGAGGCTGTCAGCTTGTTTTCTTCCTAAGCAGCTGGAAGAGGTGAGGGATAAGAGTCCCTGGCATCTAAGCCTCTTTTGTCTTTACGTGATTTTCCACAAAGGCCACTCATAAAAGCTATCTGCTTCATACTTCCATGAAGATGCTACCATGGGATGCCTACCTATCTGTTTGTGAGAATACGTTGCTTATTTCACTTACTTCACACTTATTTCTAGCATCCATCTTCCTATTCAATACAGAATGTCTGTTCCAATGGAAGCTCTCTGACTCCCAAGACACACAGTCCTAGGGCACTGTAAAGAAGAATGGCTAATGGCAACATGTACATTACTATATCTTGCCTTTAAAAAAATTTCACAAACTCCATCTCCTCTTTTCACTTATTTCCTATAATACAGCAAAAACCTAACCAGTTTCCTTGCCTCTGAATTAAACATTATTGCCACAGTAAGTGTTCTTAAGTCCAGCTCTCTAGTTGTGTAGCTTGATTACAAATTTTGAATGCCTTGTCAGTCTACTACATTAAGAGCCAACTTCCCCCCCCCAGCTGAAATGTTTACCCTGAATCTAATAATGAGAAACAATCAGAGGAATCAAGATTGTGGGGTGTTCTAGAAGGCAACTGGTATAGCAGCTGCAAAGATGTCAAGGTCAGGCAAGGGGAAAAAAAGTGGTGGTGAAAAGTTCCAGATTAATGGAGACTAAAGACTAACATCAATCAAATACAATCCATGATCCCTGATTAAATCTTGAATTATTTCTTTAAATAGCTACAGAGACTGGGATCATGAAAATATTCCAAAATTAGATTATAGTGATGGCTTCACAACTCTATAAATGTACTAAATCCACTGAACTTATGCTCAATAAAATTATTTTTTTTTAAAAAGCTATAAGGTGGATCTTTTAGACAACTAGAGAAATTTGAATATACGCTATATATTAGATTATTTTAACAATGTCTTTTCAATTCTGTTCTTCCATTTCTCCCTCCACTCGACCCCTAGAATCCCTCTATTCTTACCTTACAGCATTTAATTTACAGTAAATAAGTCATGTTGCTAATTTGGGATCTTGTTTTACTCCCTAAATATGTTGGCAACTTGAGGCTCTATTTTGCTTATCTCTGTGTGCCCTTTGAATTTTAATGTCTTCCTCACTTTACCTCTCATACACCTGGGTATCTTTGGCAGTCTGAACTCTGCTGTAATGACTTGCAGAAATTATTACCTGAATTTAAAATTCATTATTAACAAATATGTGTGTACCTGCCAGTGAAAAGAAATTAAGTTGTATCCAAGTGCAGGTGAAACATATATAAAATATGTAAAAGATTACATGTACTTTCTCCTGACAGAAGCCTGAGGCCAAACAACCAGGTTGCAATTCAGATAGAATCTTTAATAGATTATTTCATTTAAAAATTTCATTGCAATATAGAAGATAATTATAATTTTTATCCAGTGTTGATATTTACCATATAACTCCAATATGAGTTCACTGTTACATGATTATGTAATTAGTGCTTTAAATATTATGTAAGAGTTTAAGAGGTTTTCTTTTTTTTTTTTTTTTTTTTTTTGAGAGAGAGAGAGGGAGGGAGATAGCAAGTCGGGGAGGGGCAGAGTGAGGGGGAGAGAGAGAACCCCAATAGTCAGGTCTGTCATTGTGTCGGCCGAACCTACTTAAATTCATGTGAGAGAGATCATGACCTGGGCTGGAAGTCGGATGCTTAATCAACTGAGCCACCCAGGCACCCCATGAGGATTTTTTAAAGAGGATTTTTATGATATTTAGAGAAACTGGTTGTGGTTTTGATTGGGTTGAAAACAGAATTCTTTCCCATGTAGAATAATGGAATAGAGGCTCTTGCTTTCCAAAAATGTACTATATGTTTTCAGGAATGGAACGAAAACAAGTACCAAGAGATGACATTACTTAATTTAAGAATGCAATTTGAGAGAAGTAAGAACTATTCTCTATTTGTTAATCTTTATTTACTTAGTTGGGCCTAAGGAAATTATGCCCATGTAATAACCTTCCCAGGTCTAAACAATTCTATGATTCAAAAGCCACAAATCGGTAGGGAACGATTCCTGTGGGCCCTTGCCTTCGGAAGGCCACATGGAATTCCTTACAGTGGCACCAACAGCAGGCTACTACCAATACATGTCCTGACAGGCATACTTCATGCTATGCAAACACAAAGGAGAAGGATCCAAGTAACCTGACTTTTCATTTATCCAAACTGTTCTCCACTCAGTGACCTGGGTTTATGGGTTACACTATAATTGAGAACACTGGCTTTTAAACTTTAACAGCAAGAAATATCTTACGGTCATCACACAAAAGTAGCCTCACACATAAATACACTTATACATGTACACAATATATATGCCAATGTATAGAATTACTATATTATGTAAAGATGTTAAAGTACTTAGCTATTATCTGTGATACTCTGATCTATTTTATCCTCTAATTTAAACTCTAATTTCTATTTTATTGTATTCTATTATTTAAAAAATGCTTTTTTATAACTCACTAAGTTATTTCATGACTATAGGAATGTGACCTTCATTATGAAAAAACTGACTTGAAGGATATTTAATAATGAAAATGAAAGAAAACGTATTGTGTTCTATTCCCTTGAAACTGAAATTCCTTCAATAAGATCTTGATTTATTTTATTAGCCTCCCTAATGCAAAGCTATAAGATCAGTATTAAAATTTATTGGGATTGAACAATACAATTTTTCATGGCAATCTTTCTTTTATGCCCTTTCACTTTTCTACAACTTTGCTCTCAGTCTTCTCTGCTCACAATCCTTACTTTCCTACTGGGGCCCTGCCTCTGCTTTCAAGCCCGACCTGGTCTGCTCTATCCTGGGGGTGGGGGAAGCAAACAACCTATGTATGCACACACCACTTCCCCTGCCCCCAATAAAACCACCTCCGCAATCATTCTGTAACTCCTGAGTGGTTTTCCTCTTTAGGAAAGATTAAAAATCAACACTTTTGAAATACTAAGGATACCAATTCAATCATCAAGCCTGTGTTCCATTTAATTCTGCACATGGTACTAGCCAAAACAACAACATTAGGAACCTGAGAATCTTATTACCGATAAAGACAATTTAAAACAATTTTGATCTCTTGGTTTAAAAGTATTCTAATTAAAGTGAAAGAAGGAATAAATAAGCAACTTCATGCTTTAACTTTAGTTTAAAACCACTAGAGCCATAAATAAGGAGTAACACTGCTAAGTCACTAAACTCTTCAGTACAATACATAATAACACATATGTATTTATTGTCATGTTACCTGTGATAGGATTTCAGGTAATTTTTTTTTCTTTTTTTTTCAACGTTTTTTATTTACTTTTGGGACAGAGAGAGACAGAGCATGAACGGGGGAGGGGCAGAGAGAGAGGGAGACACAGAATCGGAAACAGGCTCCAGGCTCCGAGCCATCAGCCCAGAGCCCGACGCAGGGCTTGAACTCACGGACCGCGAGATCGTGACCTGGCTGAAGTCGGACGCTTAACCGACTGCGCCACCCAGGCGCCCCGGATTTCAGGTAATTTTTATACTGGTGAAACACAGAAGTGAAGCTACTGTAATGTTTAGGAGAACTCAATAATTTTCATGGTGCCCCAACATCCCAATGTTAACAAACAGGACTACAACATGCAATTTTCCACAAAAAGCTATTTGACAAAAAGAAGAGAGAGAACATCACTGACAGATGAAGAGAGGAAATGAATGAGCTCTTTCACTCATACCTGAGGATGCCAGCTTCCTAACTGGTGAGAGATAATCAGAGCCTTAGAAATGGAAATGTTTAATTTAAAAACTGAAATCGTTTACAGATTCCTATGGCTTCAAAACTCAAAAAGTATAAAAGGGCATTTTGTGTAATTTTTTTTTTTTTTAAAAAGACTCTTCCCCTTCCAATAATGGAACGATGCTTAAATATTCATTTAACTATTTTATCATTTCATTAAAGGCATATTATCAATTCCATTACAACCATAAATATGAACACGAATACTTGTACAAATGTTAGGTATTCGTACAACTTATTTTCTATATACTGTACGTTTTAGCATCTAATTATATTAACTTTATAGCACTCAAGTTAGTATTGAGTTAAGCCATTTTCCAACTGGTTTCTGTCAGTACTGGACTCATAATAGGGCCAAAGCGCTTTTGAGATCAACAATGTCATCATATACTACTCAAATACCCTTAGGTAATAAGTAAGTGAATAGCTACATTAATTCAATAAACAAAAGTCCTATATTAGTTCATATCCACTGAATTTATTAAAATAAAAAAGTCTCATCTTTTTAAGCATGCTATTGCCATCAGCTTACCTCTCGCTGTTCTCCTCCATGGTATCCTGCATTTTAGAGGATAGTCCTGTGTATCTGTCACCTGTCAGTTTTTCTTCTTCTAGGCCTATCCTATTCCCATTGTATTTTTCAGTCATTATTTTGGTTGGTGAATGATCAAAAGCAGGACATAAGTCTTCCTTAGAGAGTTCTTTCCACCGTTTCTAGGTAGGGAAGAGAAATGAAAAACAAATGCAAATACTAAAATTGTGGTTTTCTTTAAATAAGAAGGATATATGAATTGAAATTCTAGATTCAACTTAAGAAAACCCTGTGATGCTGACAAACAAACAAAAAAAAAAGGCATTTTACCAAAACCTCTTGTAGATGGGTAAGTTCAAAATTAAAAAATAATATAGCATTTAATATTTATATACATCACTATATAGTTGAATCTTAATGAAATTTAGTGGACTTTAACCTATTTAAGATAAACTATACCAGGACCTCACCAAACTATGAGTCATAGGAAGATTTTAGCCAAAGCCGGATTCTGCTGGACTCCTAACCCACAGGTATGTTATCACTGGAAACAGTGACCAAGATGGCAGTTGAATGTGATCTAGCATGTCCTAGTTCCTTGCCACAGTCTGGTCTGGTGGAGAAACAACAGTGAGATCTCCAGGCAGGTCTCTCTGATGCCAGAGGACTTTAATTTGGTTTTTTCCTACCACATATGCTAGCAGATTCAGGTAGCAAGCCCATCACTAGGCTAGAGAAAACTCTGCTAGCATGCTTGGACTTTATAGAGGAGGCAGGATTTAGACCAAGATGAAGAGAAATTCCATTTCCTTCATCTGTCAAACAGGCTGTCATCACCTGTTGTGATTGAGACATAACATGCCTAGCACCATGTCTGGCAAATGTTAGATTCCTTTGCCCTCAATGTCACCATCCCTTGTAAGAGAGGAAGAGGTACAAAGTGTACCTGGGCACCTGGAAGATGAAGGCAGTGACAAAGTGCCAGCCAGAGAGGGAGAAGACAAGCATAACCTCGGCATGGGAACACCTCAAGTCCTTCAAGGGCTGGGAACACAACAATCCATCTCTCTGACAATGACAAGACTAGAAAAGGTGGCAGCAAGAGCCAATGGTTTGGATGATCTGTGACTCTGAAACTGGTCAAAATGACCTGGTATGGACAGGGGTGGCCCTCTTAGAAGATCCTATTACAGAAGCATGGAGTCTGGAATCTAATGAATAAGAGACTCTGTAACTTACTGCCTGAGGATTTTAATGTTCTTGAACAGAGATGTAACACTGTAATTTATACTAGTCTGGAACGTAGTGAAACAATCTTTCCCTGGAGTTGCTTTGGTTAAAAAACTGCATGGTTAAAAACAATGCTTATATATTCAGATTAAAAAAAAATCCCCGGAAAATTCACTGATACACTGATAAATTAGTTTCGAACTTGTTTCACTACCCTACAACAGAGGACTTAAAAAGGAAAAAGGCATTTTACTACATTCCACCTTTCCCATATATAGCTATTTTATTGCGATGCATAATTAATGTGTCTCTTTTTAAAAGTAATTTACAAAACACTTAGAGAATGTAAAATTTTGTAATTTGCTACATTTGGAGGACAGGGTGTAATACAGTATGGTACAATCTGACTAAGCAGATGAAGAACATGTGGAGCTTGGCCCTGAGAGATGAGGCCAGAAAGAAAGACATCAATGAAAGAAGTCTCTGAACTTATGTGAGAAATAATGGAACGGAACCAACCTCTCCTAAGCAAGGACCTCATAGGATGTGATGTAAACCACATCCAGAAAGAACATTCTGCCAGTATTTGAGAAACAGTTGTAATGAAACGTAAGAGTAAGAGGTGTTTTTTAAAGTTTATTTATTTATTTATTTATTTTGAGAGAGACAGAAACAGCATGAGTAGGGGAGGGAGGGAGGGAGGGGGAGAGAGGGGGAGGGGGGAGAGAGAGAGAGAGAGAGAGAGAGAGAGAGAGAGAGAGAGAGAGAGAGAGAGAGAGAGAGAGAGAGAGAGAGAGAGAGAGAGAGAGAATGCCAAGCAGGCTCCGTCCGCACTGCCAGTGTAGAGCCCAATGCGAGGCTCGAACCCACAAAGCCATGAGATCATGGCCTGAGCCAAAACCAAGAGTGGGATGCTTAACTGGCTGAGCCACCCAGGTGCTCCAAGAGTAAGATGTTTTCACTTCAGATGACTATGTCAGGTTTCTTTCTTCCCCTGTTTTACATTTTTGTTACTCAGTCCAGACAGCATTTTGTATATTGAAGATGCATGTGGGGAAACTTTTCAAGCACTTACTATACCCACACTGCACCAGCTCTTAATCCTCAGAAGAACCTCAGGAGGGAGGTGCTACCTCTGCTATGATTATCCCCTTTTACAGATGAGATGGGCTGAAAGAACAGAAGTAATTTGCCCAGGTTATGCAGCTAATGAACAGCAGGCCCAGATTTTAATGCTATAATCCCTGATTAACTGTACCTGTGAAAAGCTCATCAATTTCAGATACCACATAGTTTAAGAAAGTACCCAATAAAAATGTGAAATTGTCTCCAGAATTTAGGCTGTTCAAAAAAAATTTTTTTTTAAATTTCAATTCTTCACTGGGGTCCTAGTTATAACAACTTGGCCTTATACTTGGACAAAACTCAACAATGTCAATAAACAAAACAATGACAAAAATCAAGTCTTACTGGACCATTTCCCAGAATATGCAACAAATTTCAGAATCTGTCAACATGAAAAGGATTCAGCAAAAGGGATGGGAGTGGAGGAAAGGAGATATTTAATGCTAGTGAATTTTTAAATTTTTTTTTTTCAACGTTTATTTTATTTTTGGACAGAGAGAGACAGAGCATGAACGGGGGAGGGGCAGAGAGAGAGGGAGACACAGAATAGGAAGCAGGCTCCAGGCTCCGAGCCATCAGCCCAGAGCCCGACGCGGGGCTCGAACTCACGGACCGCGAGATCGTGACCTGGCTGAAGTCGGACGCTTAACCGACTGCGCCACCCAGGCGCCCCATTTTTTAAAGAAAATGTCATTTTGCCATGTCTCTGGGCAGCAAACTCACTCAACTTTGCCTTCCCTGTGACCCACAAGCAAGCAGGCACTCCAGAATCATCTGCCTAGGCTTGTCACTGCTGACTGGTGAAGCCAAGGAATCAATACTGCATTCAGCTACTTCATTCAAGCTCTCATCTGAAGGCCTGGAGGACAGCTTATCTGGACTGAGAGTTTCTCATCTCCCTTTCTAATTCTACACTCACACTGAACGAAACCCTACACATCACGTGCTGCCTGCACATCACCCTGCACAGTGCCTGCAACCCCACCCTACCCATCTTTCACTGAAGAAAGTCACTCGAAGGAGCAGTTAAACTTGAAACCCACTATAATTTGTTAAAAATAAATCATTTGCTTTAGTAGTAGTATCAAATTACCAACTAGAGATCTTACAAGATTAATTCTGAATTGCCAATCTGGATATTTTACTCTGTGAAGTTTGCTGTCATCATGGATACTGGGAGTGTGCTAATATGTGGTAATACCAGTAACTACAATGTGTTTTTATGCCCAGCCATGTGCCAAGAAAGATGTACAGTAAATGATATGTTTTTAGAGACAACTAGAACTTACCTGTATTTATCTACGTAGGTCAAGGTCATTGGAAATTCCCAATGATTACAATTATGTAGCATGTATTTATTGATTTCAGAAACAATCACCTTTGATGTGTATATTAACAGCTCTCCTTTCTCCTGACAGATTCTAAATCACTTTCTATCCACATATGTCAAAAACCTTCATAGGAAGACTAACATAAAACTGTATCCAATAATGAAAATACCACTCACACAATACAAATCTAAATTAAGACTGAAGGTGAAGACAGATATCCCCTTTAGGAACAAATAACAGAGACTAAGAAATATGGTTTGGGTGCTGCTGAACAGACAGTTCTCTGGGGGGACACCGGTTCAGGAAGTATCACCCTCCCACACCCCTGGCCACCATGCTCACAAAGAAAGAAGCTTCCTTCTTCTTACAAATATTAACTTTCCCTAAAATTCAGAGGTAAAGAGGAGGAGGTAGGCATATGGAGAGAAAGAAGAGTCTTTTTATAAATTGGCTATCATATCCTTGTATGTCAAAAGAGACAATTTCATGGGCTACAGTTATATTCATGCAGTTTGGGGTTTCTACATTAACTTTAGATCTTATAATTTAGGATCTCGGGGAACTTTCCTTTTCTTAGATTTTTATTCTAAGCTAAGGTTCTAGAACAGCACTGTCCAGTGAAATATAATATAGTGACATTTACAACTTTCAAATGTCTAGCAGCTGTGTTAAAAAAAGATGAATTTTAGCTATGTTTTATTTAACCCAATATAAAAAACACTGTCATTTGAACATACAATCAATATTTTAAAGTGTTTTTTTTTTAATTTACTTTGAGAGACAGAGAGGAAGGGAGGGACACAGAGAGGGAGACAGAGAGAATCCCAATCAGGCTCCACACTGTCAGTGCAGAGCCCAATACAGGGCTCAAACTCATGAACCGTGAGTTCATGACCATAGCCAAAATCTAGAGTCAGACAACCAACTGAGTCATCCAGGTGCCCTAGATATATAATCAATATTTTTTAAATTATTGAGACATTTTATACTTTTTCTCCCTGTATTTAATCTTCAAAATCTGGTATGTATTTTACACTTTAAGCAGATCTTGATTCCAACTAGCCATAATTCAAGTACTCAGTAACACATGTGGTTAATGGCTACAGTATTATAGCAAAGTTCCAGGAGGAGAAAAATATCTATGTAAGATAAACCCATATATATTTACTCATTAAAATACAGATACTCATTAATTACCATTATAATTAATAAAATTACAGCACATATAAATTATAGGAGCCTTAAGATCATTTCTGTGGAAACTGACCCCTCCAAATGGGTAATAGGCTTTTCTGATCCTTAATACCTGAAAAATACAGAGACATTTCCAATGTCTTCCTGAAGAAGGGGCAGAGAATGCCTTGGGTTTGTATGAAGTGCTAATGAAGCCAAAAGGAGATTCTGATGGCTACACCGTACCAGATAAATTGAGACAGAAAAAACTCTCCCAAGTCACAAACTACACTGTCATAATAATAAAGACCACAAGAAGTATGTTCATAAAATTCATCTCTGTAGTGAAAAAGATTCTCAAAGTAAGTGTGTATATATTCTGAAACTAAAGAAACTTGAAAAAATTTTAAAGTGGAGGGAGAGATACTATCCAAAGGATGGCACACTTTCCCTACAATTAGTGTGTTAAGAACATCCAGGAGATGAGCAGTGAAACAACTAGGGAACATACAAGTGTGTGAAAAAAGTCTGGTATAACTACTTAACTTTTTTAAACTCCAGATTTAAACTGGAGAGTTCACTGGGATAAAAAAGACATTTTCCTAATGGAAGAAGGGTCTCACGCTTTGTGGGCTAAGCTAAGCTACATACTACCTTGTGGACTGATGCAATATTTTTCTTTACTAAAGAGTATTCTTTAATGCTATATAAATATTTGAAAAAAACATTTTAAATGAACTTTATTTTTTTCTTTCTTCATTTTAAAGGTTTTATTTTCATTCCAGTTAACATACATTGTTATATTAGTTTCACGTATATCATTTAGTAATTCAACAATTTCATACATCACTCTGCGCTCATCAACACAAGTGCACTTCCTAATCCCCATCACCTATTTAACCCACCTCCCCACCCACTTCCCTTCTGGTAACCATCAGTTTGTTTTCTACAGTTAAGTCTCTTGGTTTGCCTCTCTCTTACTTTATTTCCCTTTGCTTGTTTTGTTTCTTAAATTCCACATATGAACGAAATCATATGGTAATTATCTTTGTCTCTGATTTCGCTTAGTATTATACTCTCTAGCTCCATTCATGATGTTGTCAATGGCAAGATTTTAATAAAACTTTAAATTTTTTTTTAACGTTTATTTATTTTTGAGACAGAGAGAGACACAGCATGAACGGGGGAGGGTCACAGAGAGAGAGGGAGGCACAGAATCTGAAACAGGCTCCAGGCTCTGAGCTGTCAGCACAGAGCCCGACGTGGGGCTTGAACTCATGAACCGTGAGATCATGACCTGAGCCGAAGTCGGACGCTTAACCGACTGAGCCACTCAGGCGCCCCATGATTTTAATAAAACTTTAAAATCTCACCGGTAATAGTTTGTCTTGAATAGTTACAATTATACTAATGATGAGAAGAGTTAGCTGAGGAACAGAACTGCTTAAGAATATTTTAATGTCTCTGAAATCTACACGACACCTAACTTATATTTAATTCCATTATGACAGATGGTCTGATCTGAGTTATAAAAGGCGGTTTATTCAGAATATTCCTGTCTTGGCTAGTAATCACAGATATGAAAGAGTCAGTATATGTGTTCATAAGAGAAACATAAAGAGATTTTATCGACTTATGTTCAATACTATGTGATCAGATCAGACAAGAAATGTGGGTCTGTTGTTATTTCTGTTTCTATTTTACATTTTATGTTAGTACATTACACAGATTTCTGATATCAGTCTTTGAACGTAGTCTTTGCAAATGTGGAATAAAAATATCTTCATGAGAGTACAGCCAGCAACCCAGAGAAACATAACTTTGTACTGGAATTTCATTATGTCTGCCATAAGTACTCAAGTTGCTCACTGTTATAAAATTAAGTATTTATTACATGAATTATTCTATAATCACAGGTCAGGTTTTTAATGAGCTGAAAGTACAAACAATTTCTGATTTTAATACTTAAATGCTTATACCCTCCTTACATAAACATTTCGCTTTCTTTAATGAAATCTTATTCCCACTGGGGCTTTTGAGTAACAGGAAGGATTTAACATGAGGCTGAGGTATGTATGAGGCAATAAGCTTAAACTTTAGTTTTAAGACAGCCAGCTGGATTTACCACGTGAATGTAAATATGCTTTTTGGAAGGAAGGGAGAAAATATGTGCTTAAATGAAGTGCAGTTATTTGATGCTAATCATATATAATACACAGGTATTTTTGCCCCTAAAAAAATTTACCTGTATATTTGAATCTCCCTTTATAAATTTTGCTCCTTCTATTATAGTCATATATGAGAATCTGAGTTGGTCTGGTGTCTGAATAAGTCCCATTCGATATTTTCTCATATTCAGTAACAGTTGTTTAATGTTAATATCATCTCCTTTTTCCATCTGCAAGAAAGGTAAAAATTATTCAAGCCTTCTGTTGTTAGGGTCTAGGGAAAAGAAGCAATACAGGATAGCTGCTAAGCGCTTTACAATGAGCAGTGTGTTTCCCCCAAGAACAAGAAGTTACCACTGCAGCTGTAACTCTTTCTGTACAAAACAGGCACCCCAATCCACCATCACCCCCACAACTCAACTGTTCAAGCAGTAGGTGGAAGCCTTTAGCTGATATACAACTGATTCCAAACCAATCACAGTAATCTCATTCAGTTTGGCCAGTGTTTGCCTAAGGAAGGATTTATGGCCAGTTCTGGCTTGATGTAAAGATAAACCCACTGAGATTAGTGCTCTTCTTTTTTTCTTAAAGGTCTTGGCAGAAATAATTTTTTTTTGCCCAGTGCCCTTCTGCCTTCATGTCTGTGTCCAGTAGCCACCTAGAGATGGTGGAGAAGACAGAAAGAGCCTAGATGCACTATGACACTGTTGAGTCGCCCCACCAGCCCTGGACTATAGATCTGGTATTATAACCACCGTACTCCTCACCACAAATGAAAAACAAAAAGTGGAAGTTATGTTTGGCAGGGAATAGGCACAAACACACAATCCAGTTTTTAATATTCACCATTAACTGCATAGACACCAGAGTTTTTAGACATGTCAAAGTTCACTTTAATGTAACACTCTGGCTTTTTTTTAAACATCTTTTTAAAAAAATTTTATTTTATTTTATTTATTTTTTTTTTAATTTTTTTTTCAACGTTTATTTATTTTTGGGACAGAGAGAGACAGAGCATGAATGGGGGAGGGGCAGAGAGAGAGGGAGACACAGAATCGGAAACAGGCTCCAGACTCTGAGCCATCAGCCCAGAGCCTGACGCGGGGCTCGAACTCACGGACCGCGAGATCGTGACCTGACTGAAGTCGGACGCTTAACCGACTGTGCCACCCAGGAGCCCCTATTTTATTTTTAAATCAAGTATGCTCTATGCCCAACATGGGGCTTGAACTCATGACCCTCAAGATTAAGAGTTGCATGCTCTATTGACTGAGCTAGCCAGTAACAATTGGCTACATGTAACAATTGTTACATGAATTGCCATATAACAATTCAGTTTCTGATTGAGGTATATTACATATAGGCAGAGTGGTAAAGTAATACGGTAGGTGTATTAAGACTCAACTATTCTTATACTCTAGAGGTGCTCTGTACCCAAGTAAGGAAAAATGGACATTTAAAAAATGTCCTGTATCCAGGCTGGGGCTGGGAATGGGGTGGTGAGAAAGAATACAGCCCTTGGGGACACATATCGGAGTCTCAGGGGACTAACAGTACTAACATCTATTTGTATCTCACAAAATACCAGAGACTCTTCAGATTACTCTAAATGTATTAATTCATTTAATTCTCACAACACCCCCGTGAGGAAAAGTGCCATTATCCTTATTTGTAAATAAGGAAACTCAGGCAAGAGAAATGAAGTGCTTGTCTGAGGAGGCAGGAATTCAATATTACGTATCAATTTATATTTGAGAAACAAAGAGGGAGGAGGCTTATTGTTTTTGTAATATAAAGCTACCAGGAAAAAACAAAAAAAAAGTCTTTTGGGAGATCTCTAGAATCACCTTGGACACAGGACCAGCACTCTCACAAATAAGAGGCAGTTCAAAGGGTATGAATGAGGTTTGTTTAGGTTTTTCTGAAAGAAGGCAGAAGTTTGAAAATCACAGTTCTGGGATAGTGGTATTAGAGCTTACTTCTGCCAGTGGAAACAGTAAAAATTAAACAAGACTAAAATTAGATCATAAGAAGCACTTACCAGAACAAGACAGGTATCTACTAGAGAAAAGGTGCCTGACCGCCCAATGCCTGCACTACAGTGGATCACTGCAGGCCCATGTTCAGGATTCAGGGAACCAGATTCTCTCACTTTAAATAAGAAATTGAGAAATGAAGCTGGTGATTCAGGGACTCCAAAATCTGGCCAGGTAGTATAATGAAAGTGAGATATTGTTCTGGTTTCACCACTCTACAAAGTGAAAATCAAGGGGGGAAAAGTTAGTTCTAATTTCTTAAAAAAAAAAAAATTATTTCAGAGAGATTATGTATTTTGTCTAATGCTTTTAATCCTTATGGACTTTTGTACCATGATTTTTCATTTGGTTTCTGATAATCGCTCACACAAGTTTGGAGTTCTTTAGGAGAATCTGGAATTTATTAATAATAGCTAACATTTCTAAAACATTATTTCGCAGGCATGTTCTAAGCTTTTTATGTATTCAACTCATACAACAATCCTATTAAAATTCATTTTCTAGATGAGAAAACCGAGGCCAAAGGTTAAGCAATTTACCCAAGGTTACAGATTTAGAAAACAGCAGACCAGAATCAGAAGCAGTAGTCTGGGTTCTTAGCCACTAACCTGAACCATACATGTTGCCAGGATTTTAATTCATATATCGTGGGTTTTTTTTCTTCCATTAAAAAAAAATTCTACCAGTATAATTTTACATTCTTTCGTGGTTTCCTTTTTAAGCACTCCCAAGATTTTTCAGATATAATTTTTCTCGTTATACGAGTCATCTTGTAGATTGTGCTACCCAGGCTCAGAGAAGCAACTCAAGAATTAATTTAAAGAAACAATCTTCACATTTTTTATTGAAATTGCTCTTCTAATTGCTGCTTTTCCCCATGGCAATAATTTCCAATCCTAAAACTGTTTATATGACTTTGTGATGTGCTAAAATGTTTTACCAATATGCTAAATGCTTCCTGTCTCTTAAAGCCTGCCTGGCATTCACTATCACTTCCTGGATATTCCTGATGAGCTTTATTTCTGACTAACTCATTATGAAAATGTTCCTAAGCTTCTGCCAGCTGCTTTTGCCCCAAGGAGCACTTCAGTGCCTTCTCGTCTTCATTTCTGTAAATGAAGCAGTAACCCTCAAGCATGTCTCTGCACAATTTCTCAGTTTCATTATAGGACGTTTTTGGAGGGAGAAGCCATATAAGCAACATTTTAAAAAGTTATTTTTAATGGTTAAGAGCTAAAGATTATTATTAGAGCATTGTGCTTTTGGTACCAGTTTTCAAAATTAAGGTTAACTTTCATTTTTTAGAAAATAAATTTTTTTTTTTTTTTAAGTAGAGATTAAGACTCCCAAATCCCAGATTTGGTTATATGAGGTATAACACTGATAAAATACACTGCAGAAACTTTTTAATGTCAAATTATATACTTCTAGTGATTGATTTTTCTTAACATTTGGCTTTCACAATTCCAAAGATACTCTGATCCATAGGTTCTCAATATACTGAAGGTACTAGATGATTTCTCTATTATTAATTAAAGTGACCATTGGGATTACTAGATTTCAAATCATTTCCTTTTAAATTCCAAAGTAAGCATGGTAAGTGAAAGAAGCCAAACTCTAAAGGCTATATACTATATAATCCTATTGATATGACAGTATGGAAAAAGCAAAATTATAGGGATAGAAACCAGCTCAGTGGTTGCCAGCAGCTGGGAGTGGGGTAAGGATGACTGTACACAGGCAACCTGGGAAAATTTGTAAGACTCACAGGGGGAAGGTGATGGAGCTGCTCTGTACTTTGATGGGGGAGGGGTGTTATACAATTGAATGCATTGTCAAAACTCAGAACTGTACACTGAAAAGACTGTATCTTACTATATATTTAAAAAAAGGGAATTAAAAGTACTTTATTAAAAATGATATTTAAAACATTCCAAATTAAGAAGGCTAAACTTCAGTTTCCTCTTACAAAGCCATAAATGGACACGTAACAACACAACACCAACAGAGGAATGGGCTAAAGTGGCTGGTCTCTGGCTGGCTCAGAGCCATAGAGAACTCAGTCACATTTTACTTTAAATGGGGTCTAAGACTTCAGTGGGAGTGTTTAACCCCTTTTCTCCCCTGACAACTGCCCTGCTGTGGTCATCTGCCACTATGCAGTGCTGACAATACACAGCGGGGCCAGACTTGATCCACATGAGCTCCAAGCAGGTCCTGTATGGACCTGCTGCAGCGCCCAGGTCTCAGAGGGGTGGCACCAGAACCCCACTCTCCTGCGAGCCGTGCTCTGCAGGGTGTGACTCACTGTTCCCAAGTGGTTGTATGCTCACTTATTGCATCACCTCCTGGCTCAAAACCTATAGTTAACCCACAATCCTGAGCAACTGCTTCCTTTTTCTCTGCTTGTATGATTTTGGCTCAAGACTAGCAGTCTCTTGATTTTTTTCAAATTCAGGTCATGCTGTCTGGGATACTCAAAGTCGGTTTCCAGAAATGTTCACGACTGTTTGTATGATGCAGTCTTCCCCACTAATAGATTTTTGAGAATCAGTCTTTTTCTTTCCCCTAACAGGACCAAATTAAAGAACTTCTTGAGAAGTTTAGTTTTATTAATGTGCCCCTACTGAAACAAGATTCAAAATCACAGCTCACAAAAATCATACAGTTCCCAACGGACCACTTCATGAAGCAATAAGATCCATATGTTTAGTACTGAGATAAAAAAAGGAATGTTTATATGCTTGATTAGATCTCTTTTCCCTCCTCTTCATGCTAGAAAAAAAATGAGAGGAGGGAAAAAAGGGTAGCCAAAGACTAGAGAGCTAAAACAAAATTCATCTTTATTCCAAACAAGCTCTACACGTAGACTTAACAATTTTTGACAAACTCCTTATTTCAAAACTAGTGGAAGCAGCCTTTTCTTCTCCCGGGTTACCAAATCACATCAGTCCTCCTGTGCTGCCCAGTTGGCGTCTTCCATTCCCTCCCACTGTTGACCTCACACCCCATGCACACCTGGTTGCAACCGCAATTAGGTGGCTGCCCCCGTCTCCATCCCCATGTGCACATGCCTGCCAAACCTTCTTTGTAAAATGCTGTGTTATGTATACCACACTGCAAAAATGTCAGTGGTTCACTGCTCTTTTTAAGACAAAATCTTATTTACAGTTGTTGAAGGAGAATTCTATCCTTAAAGGATATCTAATTCATTATATATGGAAGCCAGGAAGATAATCTATGAATTGAGTCAGCTATGGCAATTTAAGTGTATGCTACCTAAAGTGATTCAAATTCAAGTTTAACTATTATTTTATACAGATAAATAAGATTATGAATTTTCTATTTATATTTCTATTATAAAGAAATCTATATAGTTCTTTGGTCCTAGGCCCAATTATTTTCACACTTCAGGTATTTACAGAAGTACCAAGATAATATTCCCAGAAGACTTTCATTAGCCCAATACTGTCATCTGTAAATGGTTACAAACAGTACTTACCTTATAAGGCTATTGTGAGGAATAAATGAAACATTAAATGTAAAGTACCCAACTTATGCCTGCACATGGTAAATGCTTAACAGATACCTTTTCTGAAATAATTATACCAATTGCTTCCATTGTAGCTCCTAAAAAGCTCCTATCAATTGTAAGCCTCTCCACATTTCCAATGTTTTGGAAATACGTACTTAATACTTCCTCTACATGAAGGAGTAGCGAAGTTTGGGAACCTTATCTCCTAAATGCAGATTTTTTTTTAAATCAAATCTGTATCTCACTGTAAGTGCCTTAGTTCAGTCCCTCATCAATTTTTGCCACAATCATTGTACAATCTGTATTAAAGATTTAGTTACTGCAATTCATTTTGAAAGATGAACAGAACTCACTAGATCAGGAGGAGAGTGACAGAAACAGGTAGGCATGGGGCTTGCATTCTAAGCAGAGAGAAAAGCAATACACAGAGGTGCGGGCCCCCAACCAACAACCTGTTTGAGAACAAACCCTGAGTGCCTGAAAGAGATGGAGGTGGACAAGTAGGAAGGACCAGTCTGTGCTGGGCCCTGGACTTCTGCTTTGTCCACAGAAGGATTTTTAAATTTTTTTTTTTTTTTTTTAACGTTTATTCATTTCTGAGAGACAGGGTGTGAACAGGGGAGGGACAGAGAGAGGGAGGGAGACACAGAATATGAAGCAGGCTCCAGGCTCTGAATTATCAGCACAGAGCCCAATGCAGGGCTTGAACCCACGAACTAGGAGATTCTGACCTGAGACGAAGTTGGACGCATAACCGATTAAGCCACCTACACGCCCCTGCAACAGAAGGATTTTTTAAGAGCAAGGTGGAAGGATCATGACTGTGTTTTAGAATACCACATACTCAGTGCAATGGCAGAGGGGAGCACAAAGTTAACAGGTAAGGACTATCCACAGGGAGCTGAGAACCTTGTTATGGAGTCAAAGTAAATACCTATAAGATGGTAAAATTTAAATTATGGAGAGAAGTGTAAGACGATCATAGCTGTCAAGAATGAATGTGTCAGAGATAAGCTGAGAAAGACCTAAGTAAGGAATGGGCCACAAGGTGGTACTGAAGGATGTGCAGGATATAAATAGGCAGAGAAGAGAAGATAACATTCCAGGTGGGATAAACTGTTTAAACTATTCTGAATCAAATCCCAGCTGAGCATCACAATAATTAGGCACTCATCCTGTTTTGGGCAACTCTACAGGGACAGAGAAATAGAAGGCAGCCAGCATTACAATAGTATTCCTGGAACTTGATAAACATAAAGCTGGCCAAAAATATTATGGAAAATAATGAAGAGCTACTGAAAAGAAAATCCTGAAAGACAAAAAAGCACTCTAGATGACCTTATATTTTAAAAGCCCTGCAAAAGCTCCTTCGTAGCTTAAGCCACGGGGCCACTTTAAAAGCAAAGATGGAATCTCTTCATTCAGGGGCAAAAGTTCAGACTCTTAGCTCTGATGAAGACACTGGGAAGTGTCACTGGTGTGCAGCTTTACTGCTCTCTTAGACCAGAGGCCTCTAAAAAAGCAGGGTCTGCACAGACAATAGCCCTGGCCTCAGACCTGTTAATACATACAAGTCAGACTCCTTTAGAAGCAAACTGGTTCTCTGCAGCTCAGGGTGAGGTGGGTGACCACTCACCTACTGCACTATCACCTTTCTCTCTCTTTTGGTATTTTTCTCCCTCAACTTGTTCTGGTCAACTGCCCTTGCTCCTGCAGTCCTTCCCAACTCAATAATATTACAGAGGAAACAGATACACACAACTAAAGCTAATAATTATAACTCTTGCATGGAGTCTTAGGCCTATTAACAGCATTAATTCACTTGACCCTTACAGCAACCCTCTGAGGTACGTGTGTCCTTATACTCATTCTGTAGATGAGAAACTGAGGCATAGAGGGTAAATAGTGGGACCAATCATACAGCCAGGATTGGCAGAGTTGGAATTTAAACTCAGACCATCTGGTTCCAGAACTGAAATACCTAGTTAAATGCAATTCTGCTTCTCACACTGAAATGCTACTTTATTCTTCTAACATTCCTAGCTCTTACTAAAGATTGTAAAGTTGAATGTAAACATAATATTGCTATTAATTATGGTGGACTCTGAACCAGGCCAATAAGAAATCTCACAGTTGCTAGCAACTAAAACACAGTTTTGGCCAATGGATGGCCGGCCAGTTCACATGTGGGCCTCAAATCCAGAAAGATGCTTCAAAACCAAGGGTTTTCCTTTACTTTGACAATTCATACTTTTTTCAAAAGACTTAGCCCCATATCATTACAAGTCAGGAGATTTGGATTTGAGTTCTAGAGCCTGTCACTTATTAGCTGAGTAATCTATTTATGGAAAAAATCCTATAACCTAATGGATTTTAGGTTTTTAAAAAATACATGAAATACAGAGATATTAAGAATATTTACTCTATCAAATCATAGGAAGAATATGGGTCAAGTGATATATACGTAAAAGTGCTTTGCAAAATGATAAAATACAAAAGTCATTCTATTTTATCATGTTAATCAACTCTTAATTAGGATAGGTTTCAGAAACAGGGAAAAATATCTATGACCCTCTCCATCCAAATTAATTAAAAAAAAAAAAAATTTTTTTTTTTCAACGTTTATTTATTTTTAGGACAGAGAGAGACAGAGCATGAATGGGGGAGGGGCAGAGAGAGAGGGAGACACAGAATCGGAAACTGGCTCCAGGCTCTGAGCCATCAGCCCAGAGCCTGACGCGGGGCTTGAACTCACGGACTGCGAGATCGTGACCTGGCTGAAGTCGGACGCTTAACCGACTGCGCCACCCAGGCGCCCCAAATTAATTTTAATGCCAAAGCAGATGAGGTACTTGGGATAAATACCAAGAGAAGATGATTCAGAGAACTATGAGAAGTTTATGGAAAAGCAGTTCTGTTTCTGGGAATAAGCACTGCACAAACAGTTATTGATGTATCTCAGGGCAACTTAAGACATACGTAAATGGAATAGCTGGTGCAAAATAACTACAGTAAGGAAAATTTATAAATAAATCTAAGCCTTGTAATTCCCAACCCTGAGACTTCTTAGATAACCTAAGAGATCACATGAAAAGCTTAGTTATGGATGTCATGGGCAGTTGGGAGTGGGCCCTAAGCACACTATGTGCACCTGTGCTTAGAGTGGGCAGCAAAAAACAGAGGGGTTCCAAGAGATCAACTATACAAAGTATTTCTACATAACTAAAAGTGCGTGTATTTGTGGTGTGTGTGTGCATGTGTGTGCGTGCGTGTGTGTGTGCATGCACGTGCACACTTTATATATCCCTTCTCTATAAAGCTTTTTTTGGACAATGATCACATATTAATCACTTAATTCAGTTAATGGTTAACTGAAACAGATGTATTCCTGAAATTATTTTTTGGCAAACATTTTCCTATTTTCTAGTTTCCCTAGCTCCTAAGAGCATCTCAGAATCACTCTCATTTCATATTTTCCAGTTATCCCAATTACAACACAAGACAGGTAGATGGTAAAAGGGGGGAGAAACGTCCTGATCCCCAGCTTAACAGCAGCAGGTTCACAATCCACCATGAACACATATCTCAACCAAAAAATAAGGAACAATTCTTATATTTCTGGAAAAGATCCAAATAAATGTTCTTGAGACCATATGCTAAACTTATTTCACCATTTCCCTCAAATTTCTCTGTGGTGAATCATTCGAATGAACAACATTCCAGTAAGTTATTTTCTTGAATAGCCTGCTACTCTTGTAAATACCAAGTGCCATGGTGTTTACTGGGCACCTATTCTGCATCAGGTGCTTTGCATACACCGCTTCATTTGATTGCCAAAACAGCCCTGAAAGGGAGCTATTACAATCTCCACTTTACAGATGAGGGAAGTTGAGAAACAGGTCCCAAGGACATTTAAACTCAACAGCAGAGCTGGGATTTGAATCCAGGGTGGCCTGATTCTAAAGCTCTCTCCCTCTCAATCCCCAAGAAATTTTAATAAATTATCTTCAATCCTCATATATCAAGCTGAACTTTAAAATTCTTAACTTCTAGGTTTTCTCAGGAGTCCTCAGAGAGCTACCATAAATATGAAACATAATGATTATGATTATATAGTATTATAGACAATATCGAAATGTATGTGCAGCCCCAAGCTTCAAATCTAATGACAAAGAATAATTCAGAAAATCAACACATAAGGTCCAATCTTTTGGGATGAAAAGTCTTACATTGATATTTTCTAACTGCAGTAGATGTACTGTATAATATGACTTCACATCTTCTGACAAGAACTTCACACTGAATCCTGTTTCTTTAAATAGCATCTCTCGGTCATCTTTTGTTGGCCAGTACTGTGCACATTTAACCTAAATTTAAGAATATGTATATATTAGTTCATAGACATGATGAAATCATAAAAAGCTGGGAAAGGAAGACAAACCACACACATTCATGCTGTATTTTTTTCAAGTACCCAAATCTATGAACAATTACACTATGTTTGATGCTTAATGTATTTTAAGAAGATTGACATTTTTATAAAAGCAGGTTTGCACAATGTTCCTGTAACTTATACTAAAAAAGCCATAAACAGGTAGGTATGTTCATAAAATAAAAATGAATCTGTCACTTCTAAAGCATGGTAACCTACAGTTTAACATCATATTGGTATTCACTTCACATTTCTAAAAGTATCAACCTCTTGTAAGAATCTTTTTTTAAACAGTATTGAAAAGGCTTTATTTTACAAGTATTTTCTAAAAATATCCATGAATCTGCTACTAAATACTACTTATTCTGAAAATAACATTGTATATTTACTTACTAAAATTAAGTCAGAGAAGCAAATCAGAAGATAAGCTCCCTCTACCTAGAGTTGTTACATTGTGGCAGAACTACTGATAAGGAATTCCTATTTGTGACAATAAAAGCATCTCCCCCAAAGCCAAATTATGAGGGCACCAGACTGAGGCAAGGTGAGATAAAGAGCCACTTCATCAGGAAGAATGCACCAGAAAAACAACGTTATAAAATAGGGCCACTTCTCCCTGTCCAAATCAGAAATGACTACAAATCACAAACAGTAACAATACCTCCAAACAAATGAATACTATGAGCTGGTACTTCCAAAGGTGCTAAAAGACATTTTAAATATGATACAAGAAGTGAAAAGAGAGTAAATGAGAATGAGAACAACTCAGAAATGATGTGACAGGAGACATAAAAAAAAAATTAGGAATCAAAGAACATATCAATTCTGAAATGAAGACTAAATTGAAAGGCAAAGAGGTGTGAATAAATGCTGCAGATATTGTCTCTGGAGAAAAAGATGAGGAAAGGAGGACATTTCTGAAATAAAAAAGAAATGAAGAAAGAGACATAGGATTTGAGAGAAAGTGACAAATATAAAAATAAGCAAAGAAAACCTAACATGCGTAATTGGAGGACCCAAAGAAGAACATCAAAGCAAGCAAACAGAAAATACTTACAAGTATAATCAATACATTTTTCTTTAAAAATCATATACTGAAAGACCACACTACACACTTAGAAAAATCTGAACCAGAATGACCAACCCAAAGACATATTTTGGTAAAATTAATGGAATTTGAAGAAAAAAAAATTACTTTGAGTAACCTAGATAAAAATAACAAAAACAAAAAAAAACCATGTGACTTATAAAGGAAATAAAATACGATGTTCAATTTACTTTGGCAGTAATTTGCTATTCCAGGAGGAAATGGAGTAATAATGTATTTAAGTTGCTCAAAGAAAAGCAAATGTGAGCCAAGATTTTATATCCTGCCAAAGTGACTTTTAAGCATTAAGACAGCAGATAAACTGTCATTGACAGGTAAGAAATCAGGAACTCTAATGCCCATGAGTCCTTCCTTAGGATCCACTAGAGAATGAGCTATCGACAGGACAACTGGAGAGACATCAACAACACTGGCAATGAATATCAAATATATATTTACACGTAGAACTAAGAGCTTAAAAGGGATATGAAAGAGATTATAGTATGTTATATACTCTGAAAAGGTAGGTAAAATACAACTTAAAAAACAGAAGAAGATGGAAAAAATTTAAACTTTTTTAGTAATTACTTTGGTATTGGAGTTGATACCCTAATTATGAGTATTTTTGGTGTGTAATATGGAACAAAGGTAAAGAGTCATTATAAGATATTCTTTATCCGTAGTGTCTTTGAGGAGCAGGATTCATAGTATGGAAAAAGGAGATAACAGATACAAGGTAGAAAGGGTTAAGCCAACCCCTACAGTTCTAAATTTGAATCAGAAGATCAGTATGAACCCTTGAAGTATGTTATCTAACACACAAACATATTTTTTTCTTAGCTCTCTTCACTGAAAAGCTCTAAAAACAATGACCAGTCCAACATCAAACATCCCTATTTTTACTGCCATCTTGAAATACCATTGCCCATTAAAAGGAAACCAAGGCTCCTTAGAGACATGGTTGACTCTATGAAGAAGAGGTTAACATAAGCTTCAACAAGTAGTCATTCCAGATATTAAGAAAATTATTAAAGACTCTTTGGTTTTGACTCTTAGGTTTCTGACTCAGAGCCCAACTTGAAGAGATTTCTGCCAACCAGTGGAGGGTTAATTAGAATACTAATAAGGATAATACTATTATTATCCTTATTATTATTAAGGATATTAAGGATAATAATATTAGAATACTAATAAGAACAATAACTGCAATGGAGTGAAATGAATCAAGTATGTTTGAATCTATGAGTTCATAATAATTGATCCCCTCCAGTGCCTGCCCCACACCAAAAAAAACCTACCTGGTCACCTGTTGAGGACACTAGGAAATGAACTCTATTTTGAAAACTGCTTTTCCTATATAAAAGTGGTCAACTAACAAGAATGGAAGTTTCTCTTTATAGAAGTATTCCAACAAAAATTCAAGAAGGAATGATAAAATTGAAATACCACTATTTCATAACCCCTAATTAATTAAGGAACTAAGTAAGCCCTGACCAGCAATGACCACTAACACCATAAAAAGACATTATGGGACTCTTCACAAAGTAATACCACCCATGAAATAATCTTCCCCAAAATAATTAAATTTGAATCTTATTAAGTATCTAGATCCAAGCACTATAAATATGATTTCTAATTTCCATGGGCAGTCTTCTTTTATTAATTAGTAATTATACTCCAAAAAGAGAGATGAGACTTATAAATCATCTAGTTTGCAATGCTGCTCAAACTGTTCAAACAATGTCATCATCACTTAATTTTTGAGTCACACTGAAAACCATGAAAAAGCCACCATAAAAAACTATGCTGACATTGCTGGACATTCTGGTATGTCAGTGCCATTTCAGATTAGAAAGAGAGTAGAATAATTTGTATCACCATTAAAAGCCACCAACTATGAATTTAGAAGAACGTAAGAATCAGGCATCTGAAGAAGTAGAACAGTCCAAGATCTTAAGGCTGGAAGAGATCTTACAGACAATACTTTCCAATTTGCTTCTTTGACAGAAAAGGAACCTAAAGCTACAAAAGTTAAAGACTTAAATAATTATTAATACTTGTTTAGACTGCACCTAAAGTTTTAATAAATTTATACATTTCCATACTGATACATGTAAATTTACACGTCTCATGGCCTAAGAGCCAATTAAAATTTATCAAGATTAAAAAAAACCAACCCTGTGACTTTAATCTTTTATAAAATTTTCACGATTTTGATAATAGTAAATTATAAATTTTTAAAAATTTACTTATTTTGAGAAAGTGTGTGAACAGGGGAGTGAGGGGCAGAGAGAGAAGGAGAGAGAGAAGGAGAGAGAGAGAGAGAGAGAGAGAGAGAGAGAGAGAGAATATTCCAAGCAGGCTGTGGGGCCTGAACCCACAAACTGTAAGATCATGACCTGAGCTGAAATTAAGAGTCAGACACTTAACTGAATGAGTGAGCTACCCAGGAGCCCCAATAAACTATAAAAATTCTAATAAAGCCTAGGGATTCCAAAGATCTATGTATCACTACTGGTCAATATTTGTTTCATGACATTTACATCTTGGAGGGTAGTGGTGTGCAATCGTTACCTAAACGCTTACAGCAAGAAAGGAAAAGGTTATACTAGAGTTCTTCTGGTCAGAAACAGACTGACCTCTAGGCTTCAGCAATTCAAAGCCAAACTAATGAATGAATCAATATCCCAAAACAAATATGAAAACATTTATAAGCTAATGATAACAGGGAGTACGCCAAGTTGTAAATATTAAGTATTACTTACCGATTCCTTCTCCACAACTCGGTTTAGCATGACAACTGCCTTGGTCTTTTGCTGCCAAACCATGAGCCAGAAATGGCAACCTGTATTAGGAAGTGGACCCTGTAAGAACAGGCAAGAAAAAGTAGGTAAGAGAAAGGAGATGGAACAAGGCTCAAAGAAAATTCCTTCAAGTATGTTTCTGGTTTGAAACAGTTTATTGGATCATAGTAAGTAAATCATAACTTTAAATCTACTTGATTTAAAAAATAGGTCTGTACTAGTTGTTTATAAGTGATCAAAACTGACTTTCATTTACTTAGGCAGAAAAGGAATTTTTTAGGCTATCAGATGACTTTCGGTGTTGAGGGCTGGAGAGCCAGGCTTTGGTGGGAACCAACGTCCAGGCAAGACTCTGCTCAAACCAGTCAGCTTGGTACAGTGCTCCTGACACTGGCACTCCTTATCACCTTGCTTTGCTGGCATCGCCATACTAAGGTGGCTGTAGCATTTACGCATAACCTATAAATAAACCAAAGTCAAGATCACAGGCAGGAGTATCTGACTAGTCCAGTTCTAGTTGCAAAGGAAATTTCTGTCCCCTTCAGCTTTCATATTAGGAAAAGAGGCCCTGACTGTCATGGATCATGGCAGTCTTACAAAAGAAGAAATCTATGCCATCACTAGCCAACCAACCACCCCGAGTTAACTGGCAAAAGATTTCCAGAAAAAGCAGAAATCTCAAAGTACCTGAACCACTACAAAGCTGCTAATCTACAAAAACCACAGCATGTACAACCTCAATAGCCGACTTAAAAGGGGCAATGGTTCATATTACAATATTGTCATGGGGGAAAAAAATCAAATCATATTATGCACTTCCAATTATCTTCACATTTTGCTTAATGGTAGCATAGGGCAGAAGAAAGGGCAAATAAGAGATGAAAAGGCCACGGCCAAATTGGAACTAATTTTAAAGGTGAAAGTGAATGAGGTTCTACTGCAGCTAATAAGGCAGCATGCGTCCCTTTCACAGGGCAGAGTGACAGGCAGCATCAGTGGCTGGAGGCCAGGTGTTCTGGAACATCAGCTTCCCATGTCAAACAAGACGATTCAAGTGGTTCAAGGCTGAAAGCATCTTTTAGGCAGTTGTATTTCCTAGTATATAGCAGATGCTCTGAAATATTATTTGAATTAATAAACTCTAAGCTTCTAAATTATAAAAAGGTTGGAAATCTCAGAATACTGAGAAACTACAACCAAATATTTGAAGATACTGTTGTCCTCAATGTACATTATCTATTACTTGATCTACTTCTAAAACAAAGTGTAAAAATAAAAAAGAGCAATGAGAAAATCCCCAGTAAAATTAATGCCCTTTCTTTCATCTAAATAAATGGATCTATCAATTCACCAGAAGTCACTCCTTAGTGTATACACACACAAAAAAACAAAACACACTCCACTGGTGGCTCAAAAGGGAGGGGGGTGGGTTTATTGCTCAGTTTTCCATCTACAAGCAATACTATCAATTTTTTTAAAGCCTTTTTTTTTTTAAAGTTTATTTATTTGAGAGACAGAGACGTTGAGAAGATCTGCAGGGCCTGAACTCACAAAACCATGAGATCGCTGAGCCTGGGCTAATCACAAAACCAAGAGTCAGACACTTAAGAAACTGAGCCACCCAGGTGCCCCAATACTATCAATTTTTTCCTGCAAAATGGAGATTTAAACCAAGGACTGATATATATATATATATATATATGCCCATATATATTCTCTATATATATATTTTATTCAAAAAAACTCAGAGGAAAAGATGATGTTAATAAGCTACAAGGACAATCAGACAGCTGAGGGTTTTATTAAACATATAAATATTTCTTGTTTCTCTGTTCTTAAATATTCCCAGCCTTCAAAGAGCTTACTAAGTAAAAGGCAAGAAGTCCTGTCCCGTCCACCAACTGAAAATATCAAGTGCCATGTATGAGTAAGGGGTGAACCATCAAAATTAGTCTTTCAGGAGTAGGAAGGATGCTACAGCAGGGCCTTAAAAATTTATCAACAAGGGCACGATAGAGGCTATGATGTCAAGAAGGATGGGAGTAAGGGTGCATTCCAAGCAGAAATAAAGGCACATGCAAAGTTCAGGGCAAAATGGGAGAGACAAAGCAATCAATGAGGATGAAGTGGAAGTATGGAAGTGTGTACGAAACCAGAGTGAATACAGGAAACAGTCACCAAAGTTTTTTTAAGAAGTGGTATGATCAGGTATGTTACAAAAAATAATTCTGGTGGTATTGTTAAAGATGGATTAGGATGGGAGGGACTGGTGGCAAGGAAACAAGTTCGCCATTGGGATTCATGCCACAGATTATGATCAGTATTACTGAGGACACAGCTTCCTTCCAGGTGAGAAAAAAACAGGAAGGAGATGGCGATTAAAAGGGCTTGGATGGGTGGCTCAGTCAGCTGAGCATCCGACTTCGACTCAGATCACGATCTTGCTGTCTTTGAGTTTGAGTCCCACATCAGGCTCTGTGCTGACAGCTCAGAGCCTGGAGTCTGCTTCAGATTCTATGTCTTCCTCTCTCTCTGCCCCTCCCCAACTCATGCTCTGTCTCTCTCTCTCTCAAAAATAAATAAACTTAAAAAAATATCCAGTAAAGACCTAGAAAATATAGGGTGGAAATTCAGAAAAGAATAAAAAACTGAAAACAGCCTTCTGATTCTGTCAGGACATGCAGAGCAGTCCAACAGGGACAGGATGCTTAAACACAATTAGGAGTGCGTTAATCAGGTATTTTCTTTATTGTTATGGACTTTATAATATTTTATATTTATATAAATGTTTATATTCTAATATTTTAATAAATATATTTATATTCTAATATTTTATAATTATCATCATTGTTACTGCTACAAATAAAAAAGTAATAACAAATGCCACAACAAATAATCACTGGAGGGCTTACCATAGTACCAGGCACCATAAGAATTTTGCTCAACATCGTTCCATAGATAATATAGATATATTTATATATCAATAATATAGATATATATATACAAGCTTGGAGAGTTAGGTAGCTTGTCCAAGGTCACACAGCAATTTTATTATGCTAGTAGAGCTGAATGATTAAGAGCTTGACCCATAGTGTCAATGGGGCTTCAAATTCTGGCTTCAGCTCACTTCCCGTATGACCTTGGTAAAGTTGTTTAATGTTCCTGGTCTCTTTAGATGATTCCTCATGCATAAAATCAGGGTGATGACAGTATTTACCAGAGAGAGTTAGCCTGAGCCTTAAATCATACAAAACATAAAGTACAGAACAATGTTACAAAATTCCTAGCTCTTATTAATCTTATCTCCCACTACAATGTAAAGTTCATAATGGCATTTTTACTTAATGTCTATTTTATTTAATGCCTAACACACAGTAGGTACTCAATAAATCTTTGTTAGATGGATGAATACCCAGTGAAGCAGTGGGACCAGGATTTGGGCATAGATACTATGAATCCAGAGTCTACATTCTCTTAAGATACGAAGGTTGAACATATGGTTCCAGAGAGTCTAAAGCCTTGAGTGTAAACTGAAAAGGGGAAAAAACTCCTAAATCAGAATCCTGAGAAACACCTACAGAATTTGGACTACAATAAGAAGAACCAATAAATGAGACTGGGAAAATGGGAGAAAGGGAGAAAGAGAAAGAGAAAGAGAGGGTTGTGATAAGGGATCTAGAGTAATTATTCTTTTCTATTTTTGAACATTATAGCTTTTTCAAATAGAAAATAAACTGAAATTCTAAAAATGAGTTTATCAAAAATGTCATGAATGCAGGGTGTGCCTGGGTGGCTCAGTCGGTTGGGCATCCAACTTCGGCTCTGGTCATGATCTTGTGGTTTGTGAGTTCAAGCCCCACGTTGGGCTCTGTGCTGACAGCTCAGAGCCTGGAGCCTGCTTCAGATTCTGTGTCTCCCCCTCTCTCTGCCCCTCCCCTGCTCACGCTCTGTGTCTCTCTGTCTATCAATAATAAATGTTAAAAAAAATTAATTAAAAATGTCACAAATGCTCATAAAAAATGCCAAATATTACAAAAGGGCAGGAAATGACAAATTAAACTCTATGTATTCCTAATTCTTAGAAATAACCAGTATTAATGGTATATGTATAATTTATTTAGCCAGTCCCTCACAAATTATTTCTGTCCTATTCTTTCTGGTCCGGTACTATTAAAATTAAGTTTCAATAAACACCCTCACATGTATCTTTATGTCTATACATATGTAACCACTGAGTATTATAAACTTTTAAATCTCTGCTGTTCTGACTGGTGAAAAGTGGTTATTAAATGTATATTCCCTCATGACTAGAAAAATTGAGTATCTTTTCATATGTATATTGTCTACCTTTATATTTTTCTTTGAACTATGAATTTATGTTCTTTGCCAGTTTTTTTTTTTTTTTTAACTTAGATTGTTTCTCTTTTTCTTTTTTGTTGTATACAAGACATTTTACTTTAAGTAAAATTATTTTCATTTCCACATGATAGTCTAATCTTTTACTATATATGAAACTGTTTTCTCTGTTTTGTTTTAATGTTTACTTACTTTTAGGAGGGGTAAGCAGAGGGTGACAGAGAGAAAAAGTGAGAGAATCCCAAGCAGGCTCTGCACTGTCGGCCTGACAGAGCCCAATGCGGGAGGCTTTGCTCTCATAAACCATGAGATCATGACCTAAGCGAAATCAAAAAGTCTTAACTGAATGAGCCACCCGAGCCACCCATTTTCTCTTTCAATAATTTATTCTGATCTACATTTTTAAAAACCTCAAACTTATGAACATACAGCTTATACTTAAAATTTAAAATCATTAACTGGGATATAGCAGTACTGTTCACTAAGTCTGTCATTTGATAAAGGGAAGCTGATTATTGGATAAAACCAAAATAATTTTATTATCAGAATGGAAGAGTAGTAGTGCTAGAATATGGGTGTGTGCAATGTTTAAATCAGGCAGAATGCCAAAAGGGAATTCATTACGGTCTCATGGCTTCCTAGCCAGTATTCTGAGCACTGGTCTTACCACCACACGCAAAGGAGACGGGAGATGCCATCAAAGG